TGGTTCCCTTTACAGCAAATTTTGTTTTTATAATTTTCATTTTTCACAAGTGTTCCACCAAGGTCAAAGAGAATCTGCCCGTTTGTGTTGGGGGGGGGGCGTGATCAGCTTGGAGAAAATCCCATTTTGATGAGCCGTTCACAGTTCTCTACTTCTGTAGATTGCGTGTTTGAAAACGGTTTTAGTACAGGAAGAAAATATTCATCAATAGGCTATAGGTCAGCATGGAATTGACCGAACCAGACACTCAGACAGGTAATCTAGTCAGTTTCACTGGCATTGTTCCTGGCCATCTCTCATTTTACTAGCTGAAATACTATGGCAGAAGGAACAAATGAAATTGACTAAACCGATATGAAATGCCAGGTAACCCACAGGTTTCTGGATGCCATTTAAGGTGCACCAAACTATGGCTTGTTTAGTTAGCTACAGTTAGCTCGCGGAACCCCATTCAGATATGCCTTTCAGGTATTAGACTAGGATGTCTGAGCTGAGACCTACAGCTTCAGTGTATAGTTATCCCATTGCGGAGGCTAAATCAAAGATTGTGCCACACTAGCAGACCTGGAGAGATGAAAAGTTTGCAGTTCCAATCATCTGTTCTAGGGTGCTGGCAAAGAGCACAATCAAGAAATTTCATTCTGTTCTAGAGGTGGGCAAATCTGCACAATTGCATTTTACTTCATTTTTTCCTTCTTTCAGTTCCTTCCCATTTCAGTATCGTTTTCACTCAAAGGCTGCTTAATAATTTGTACACATTTGTGTATGTCTACATCTATTCTGCTGCTGTGTGTAATTCTCCCTAATCTGCATGTTCTTCCCATACCGCTTTCTTTAACATGTTTTAACAGATACGTGTATTTATTCATGAGAGAGACATCCCAGCTTTTCTCCAGGCAGGAAAGGCGCTGGGCTTAGCATTCACTCTCCCAATTTTAGCCCCACAACAACCCTGGGAGGTGTGTTGGCCCAAAGTTACCCAGTGAATATCCAGGGCTGAAAATGGATCTTAACCTGTTTTTTAGTCTTATAATTAACCTAGCTTTCTTTAATAAAGAAACTGGACCAGAGAAGTCCAGGAAAATACTAGTAACAAACAATGGTTTTGTTTTGTTTTTCAAAATGCCCAGCCAGTATGAATTTCTTCCTCCGTTCCTGGCCTGTTACGTGGTTGAATTATGGACCTTTGGCTTGACCAGGTGAGGGTGATGTTTTAATGGATGTGTTTTGCTCCGTAGCTTTTCACGAAGATCTTCGGAGTTGGGGTAAAGATAGCCAGCCAGTGGTACCAGAGAGGGCTCAGAACCCTGGCTGACTTGCAACTGCATCAGATAAAACTGAACTTAGAACAGCAAGCTGGTGAGTAATTTGTGCAAAAGGGAAGTAATTTTTATTTATTTTATTTGAAGGCCCCTTTGGTGGCACCATATTAAAGCAACGGAATGGGAGACTGGAGGTTTGGACTGATAGGTAAAACTATCCTGGAAATATGATGATTATGATTTTGCTTCAGCTCAGGGTGGAGAACATCCAGACCACAAAGTTTTTAGCGGGGGAAGAGTAGTGAGTTATTCAGTATTTCATTAAGCTCTGAGAAGGTTCACTTCTCTGGCACAACTGCCTTTAAAAAAATAACGCTATGATTTTTAGCAGTTGATATAAAATTGCTTTCTTTCCATTTTGATTTTCCATAAATATGTGTAGACTGAATCTTGCGCTTTATAATAGGAGAGAGGAGAAAGATTAACTGAGCTAAGTATTAGAAAGACTCTGACCTCATGTGGCTGCTTAAAACATCCTAATGCATAAAAAGCCTGTGATTCACAGAGCAACCATTTTTTCCAAATAACATAAGCATCGAAGCAGTTGATCAAAGTGGCGTTTTAAATAGTTCTAATAAATTTAATACTTTAATAATCTACCAAATTTAGCAAGGCAGGCCTCTCTCTCTCTCTCTCTCTCTCTCTCTCACACACACACACACACACACACACACAGACATGCCAGTCAAATGCCCACCTCTAAAATCTTGCTTGGTTGTGACTGATAGGTCTTCCTAATAAACAGCTCTGAAAGACTTAACTTAAAAAGCTTTTATATAATTTATTGTGCTGAGAAAAGAATGGGTCCAGTTGTTTTTGCAGCTTGAAGGAAAGGAAATGCAAAAAAGTTGGTATCACAACTCCCAGCCAACAGTCTTGCCAGCTGGGAATTCTGGGACCTGCAATTTACCTAAATCTGGAGGAGATCGGTTACATTCTACAGGCTTTTTACAGAAGTGTTTTTGGAGAAGTCAGGATTTGAATCTGGCCCTTAAACTACATTTCTGTCCGTTTGGTGTAGAACAGCTTGATCCAGATGATCCCTGGTTTTGATGGCTTGGGCTGATCTTCTTGATCACTTGGGCTGGTGATCACTTGATCGCTGATTTCTCTTGATGACTTGGGCTGATCTTCCCCACAGGGCTCCTTCATTACGAGGACCTCAATACCCCCGTGGAGCTCTGGGAAGCTGAGGCTATCAGCCAGGTGGTGCGCAAGGCAGTTGAGCAGATCTCACCAGGAGCAACGGTCACTCTGACTGGAGGATTTCGGAGGTGAATTGATTTGGATGGTGACCTCTGGACAGCCTAGTGAAATGGAGGCTAGTTAAATCAAAGTGGGTAGTTCTGGATTTCCTGGTGCAGTTCAGAGCCTGAATAGGCCCTTTCAAAGGGCTTTCCCCTTGGGAAACATCTTCGCTAGAGATCCTGAGACCACAAATGTCAACCACTAGCGGACAAAAACATGGTTTGACCATCAAGGTATTAAGAACCTCAGGGGATGTTTTGTGAAAGTGGCAGAAATCTAAAGATATTTTAATACCCTCCAGAAATTATAATTCTCAGTTGGAACCAGTTTTCCTAAGTGGCTTGTATTTGTAGCTTAGACTTGTGGTAGAGTTTAAATACTGCACTCACCACAAGCTTTCTGAAACATGGTTGGTTGACTAAGGTATAATTTGCTGGGTTCACAAATCCTGCAAAGTGAAACCCAGTGAAAGTAGACTATGGCTTAATGATGTGCCTGAACCATTCTTGTCTGTAACAAATCACAGTTAAAATGAACTATACTTGAGTGCTTTCTGTGAACCCATCCATTAAGAAATCACCCTCTGGAGTCGGTGTTCTCCCATAATTTAAGCTTATAAAGATTGGACAAGCACATTGTGTTGCTGTTTTGTGTGGCCCATATACAGTGAGTGTTGAGATCTTACTTCTTCCCTTTCCTTTGATCTGATTAATATATTGTTTTAAGCCAGACTTTTCCAACCTGGGCATGCTGATGATACCCAATGATACATCTCTGCCCCTGGTGAATTAAGCAATGCTGTTGATGTCTTATCCTGGTGCCTGGAGGCTGTGGGGGTCTGGATGGGGAGCACAAGGGTTCAGCTGTTCCCTGGCAAGAGTGAGGGGTTCTGGGTTTTAGGCCTGCCAGTCCTGGGACTATACCAGAATGGCACACGTTACACCTCTGCTCCGCAAGCTGCACTGGTTGCCAGTTTGCTTCCGTGTCCAATTCAATGTGCTGGTTCTGACCTTTAAAGCCCTTTACGGGGCCGGGTTATTTGAGGGACCGCCTCTTCCCGATTCCATCTGCCCGTCCCATCAGATCTGGCAGAAGAGGTACGTTGTGAGTCCCGTCTACTAAGAAGTTACATCTAGTAGAACGCAGGAGATAGGCTTTTTCTGCTGTGGCACCCACCTAATGGAACATCATCCCCCCCGAGGTGAGATTGGCCCCTTCTCTGCCATCCTTCCAGAAATCCCTCAAAACTTGGCCGTGTCAACAGGCCTGCGGGTCTCAAGGGAACAGCGATCTGCTGAGGTGGCTCCACCGTTCCTAATATCCAGTGCTCTCACTTAATCTCTTTTAATAATAACATTAATGTTTTTAATGGTAGTGTGTTTTAATACTGTTATCATATGGTTTTATTGTATGCCGCCCAGAGACACGTTCTGTGAGATGAGTGAACATATAAATATGACAAATAAATAAATAAATAAATACATAAATAAATTTCCAGAATGGTGGACTTATTTCCCTGAAATTTCAGCAATAGTTGTGCTAGCTGGGCAATTCTGGGCGCTGAAGTCCATGTATCTGGAACTTGCCAATGCTAGGAAACACTGTAGAAGGACGATAGATTGAAAAACCATGGTGTCTGGATTCCATTACCCACTAAACCCACATTTTAGTTTTGCACATGGTTTGAGCCCTTTCAGTGATTGGATTCCCAGATTGTGCTATGTTATAATATGATTGTAACGTGTTGTGTGAATCCAGCCAATGGTGGCTTATGCAACAATGCTGGCACTTAGCCATAAATCTGCTGTTGTGCCTCCCCCAATAGAGGGAAGCCATGTGGCCATGATGTGGACCTGCTCATCACACACCCTTCTGAAGGTCAAGAAATGGGACTCTTGTGCAGAGTCATCAGTATCCTGGATAGCCAGGTAGGTGAAGGCTGGAATGCAAGGTGGTAGGGGAGGAGCTGGGAAAAGAGGCAGATCCGAATGTGGGTGGAAGCAGTGAAGGTAAATTTTAAAAAAAAATTGCATTGAAGCCATAGATCTGCAGTGCAGGAATGGGCAAACAGAAGTATTCAAAGAAACAAAGAATTAAACCATGAATCCTGAGTGCCCGCTATTTAGAAGGATTGCCCACTACCAAGTGTTGTTCTGACCTCTCCATTCTTGCAAGTTCCACAGCAGAAGTTCAGAGCATCCTGTTAGATCATCCTTGCCTGCTTTCCTCTGAATGAAGAGGCAGAGAGCCCAGACAGCAAAATAATGTTTTGGGCTCTTTGGAATTGATTTTGAGGAACAGTTGGCAGAATGCAGGCAAAAGCTCTAGAAAGAGAAAGAATGGAGAACGTGGTTATTTTCCTGGCTGGATCAGACACATCTCTTCATCTGTTCATTTACACAAAGCTGGATTCATGGCTCTCCGCCAACCAGGATGACTCAAGACATTTTTCTGCCTGAGACCATGGCACTTGGTAGTGGGCAATCCTTCTAAATAGCACTTGGTAGTGGGCAATCCTTCTAAATAGCACTTGGTAGTGGGCAATCCTTCTAAATAGCACTTGGTAGTGGGCAATCCTTCTAAATAGCTCCCAGAATTCCCTAGCCAGCATGCTGGCTGGGGAATTCTGGGAGTTGAAGTCCATGCATCTTCAGGCTACCAAAATTGAGAAACACTGCTCTAGATTAAAATTCCCAACTTGCAAATAGCCTGAGCCTGGGTTTGCTTATACTTGTAGCACAGTGGCTAACAGAAGCCAAAATGGGCAATTACAATTAACCCGTAGCAGGAAATGCTGTATTTGGCCCAAATATGACTGAAGCTGGTAACCTGTCTAAAAATTGTAAGGTAAAAGCTATGATTGACCAAAGCCATGATAGCCTATGGGCCTGTCTGGTAACAACCACGGCATATGAAGGTTGAGACTTGGAATGTAGGAAGAGTAAATAGTCAACAACATGAAGTAGCAAAGGAAAAGAATGGAAGCAAAATAGGTATGTTGTGTGCTTGTGAAGAGAAGGAGGTCATAGATCTAATGAAGATAATCTGGTACTGTGGAGTGGAGTTGATGAATGCAAGCAGGGAAGTGGACCTATAGGTTTAATTATGAATGCTAAACTACATCAGTAAGTATGAATGGATGTTGCCTTGATTGTTGTGCATGCATCTGAAAGTAGGATCTTTAGGTTGGTGACAGTTGTGTATTACACTCTAGTATGCTGGCTGGGGAATTTGGGGAGTTGAAGTCCAGGCATCTTCAAGTTCCCAAGGTTGAGAAACACTGGAATAGCATAATGGTATGTACGGTACGGCTTCAAGGGAAGAATCACTATTGTAGGTTGCCAATGGGCTCCTGAACAGCAGGCAACTCTTAATCCTACCCAAACCTTTCTTAGCTGGGGTTTGTGCATGAATGAGTACCATATAAGCCTTGGGTGTGGCTCCCAATACGTAGGACCTTTGGGTCTCTCTTTTCGCAGGGCTTCTTGCTGTATCACAGCACCCACCGAAACAGTTTGCCCTCCCTCGAAGACGAAGAGCTGTGGGTTAGTGACCATTCAAGCACCATGGACCATTTCGAACGCTGCCTCTCCATCTTCCATCTGGGAGACCTTGCTGGGAGCAATCAAGGCGGTGCTGGGGCTCAGAAGCTGGGCGCCTCAACGGGGTCTGGAGCATCCAGTCTCTGGAAAGCTGTGCGGGTGGACTTGGTTGAGACCCCCTACAGCCAGTTTCCATTTGCTTTGCTTGGCTGGACCGGCTCAAGGGTAATGTGGGCTGATATCCTGTGTTTGAACTTAGTTTGGTTTTGTTTTCATTCGAATGTGACCTTGGGAAAAACCTGGTGTTAAAGGGTCCCCAATGAGCTTTTCATGTTCTCTGTGTAGGTAAACCATGCAGGTATCCGGGATGTCAGATTAAGTAGGACTCCAAAGTTTTGGGGTGGGGAGGAAATGAAATGAAAACAAATAGAAATGAAAAAATACAGGTCAAGTAAATGATGTTTCTTAATTAGAAAATAGGAGGAAAATCTTTCCTGGTTTCCCAGAAAAAACCCCTCAAGCTAGATCTGCCCTTGGGGTTGGGCGTAATGATTGCACCATTTGTGTAGGGCACCCATTGCTGGTCAAGAGCCCTCAGTATTCTCATGAAATGGCAGCTGACAATTTCCCCTTATCTCAAGAAGGTGAGGGATGAGGAACGTGGACCCTGTAGATGTTGCAGAATTACAACTCCCAGCTGACTGGGTTTGTATAAAGTATAGCAACATCTGAAGGCTTTAGGATCTATTCCTTACTGTAGGAATGTATTTACAGTACCTTCCATGTATTAACAGTAGTTATATACTGTCTTTCCATGGTAGTTATCAAGATGGTGCCTCATCATAAAAAAAACAATAGTACTTGAAATCATTTGAAACTACAAACCCTGTTAGAATCGTTACTGATAGTTGAAAAGGCCAAATCAGAGTTTTAACACCTTTTGGAAAAACCCTGAGTGGATGGCCAACATTACAGGTAGTCCTCAACTTACGATCATTCATTTAGCAACTGTTCAAAATTACAACAGCGCTGACTTACCATCAGTCCTCACACTTATGATTGTTGCAGCATGCCAGGGTCACGTGATTGCCATTTGCAACCTTCCCACCCAGCTTCTGGCAAGCAAAATCAATGGGGAAATGCATGATTCACTTAATGACTGTGTGATTTGCTTAATGACCACATGATTCACTTAATGACTGCAGCAAAAAATGTTGTAAAATTGGGTGAGGTCACATGATGCCTCGCTTAATGACCATATTGCTTAATGACGAATTTTCTGGTCCCTATTGTGGTTGTAAGTCGATGTCTACCTGTAACTTGTCAGACAGAACATTATATAACATGGGAGTGATGCGCTGGAGCCTCCTCCTGCCTTCTCTTCAGCTCTATTTGCAAATCTAGTGGGGAAAAAAAGTCTCCACATTTTCTGCAAAAATATAGGAATATTGTATCTGAAGCAAAATTATAGGTTGGTTAGAGGAAAGCATTCTGAGGATGCTGATGAAACCATGGAAAGAGGAGACAATGGTTTGGGAGGGACATAGGAGATTATCTATCTGTCTGTCCGTCCGTCCGTCCATCCATCCATCCATGCCATCCAGGATTTCCAACAGGTGTTTTCTGAGTTTACCTGGAGATGCTAGGTGCTCTTGCATGCAAAGCATTTGCTTTAAGCTGAAGCTGCGCTCCTTCTGCATCCCTTGTGAGGAAGGGTCAAGCCCCTCCAGTGCAGAGCACAATCCAGGAAGAAAGATTCACACAGACTTTCTTGAATGAGTTTTAATGCCAAGAACTAGAGCTTAAAGTGCAGAATCTTGGGAACTGAAATAGGAACCCTCCAGGCCTCCCTTATTAGCGAGTTCCTGGCGGGGATCTCTTTGAAAATTTTGACTCTCTTTTTCATGGAATGTTTGTATGAGGGATTAAGAGTCCTTTTATTCGATTAGCCTGTAATAGAATTTCCCACCTTTTGCTTGTTTGTGTTTTGAGATATTTCCCTTCTTTTCTCAGCTTCAGCACAATCTCTTACGGAAGGAAAAAGAATAAAGAAAAAGAAATCTTAGGCATTTTCATTCTTTGATACTCCAGAAGATTGAAACCAAATCCAGAGTGAACTGGATAGGTTAAAGAACTGGGCTGACAATAAAACAAGGAAATTGAATACAGATAACTGTAAAAAAAGGCCTGTTCTCATTTGTTCCAGAGTGTATGGAATAATGGATTTCAGTTACAGGAAGGCAAAAGGGTTCTTCTGATTCTATCATTATCTGATTAGCATCTTGTTAGTTTTGAAAGCTTTCCTAGCTGGATATTTGAAGGACCTGTTTGAGGCTTTATTTCTGCTCACCAGCAGCATTTCTGCAATGCAGAGTTGACATCCAGTTTGGGATGTTCAGTAGTCTCTCATGCAGAGAAGTGGCAGGCTCACCCCCAGCCTTTCCAAATTAATTCAGAGAAGATTGGGATGGAGCAGGTAATCGTTCAGAGATACTTCAGGCAAACTCTTCCATTCATATGTATTTCACATTCAGAGGAGCCTTTTAGCAAATGGAATCTTCCTGGTGCTTCACTTGGGAATGACTTGCCTTAATAACTCCTTAATTATCGTTCTCTCTGCTTCCCAGAACTTTGAACGAGACCTCCGGCGTTTCTCTAAGCATGAGAAGAAGATGACCCTCAACAGCCATGGGCTCTATCACCTGGAGCAGGTAAGAGGCTGCTGGGGTGAGAATCTCAGGAGGAATGACTTTGAATCTAGCACCCTTGGATAGACACTTTTCTCTGCAAAAGTTCAGAGCAGATGGTGTCATTAGAAGACACAAAGGAGCTTGAGAGAGTTCTTGGTGTTGATCCAGGTTTGTGAGACCTGCCTAAACAGATTCGTGCCAAAGTACCAAGGAAATTTTGCATTTAGATGTCCTGGTTCTTAATCCTGATCTGCCTCTATAAGTCCTCCAGTCTTCCATATGGATATTTGATTCTCCTTTGGAAAACTCTGAACTTGTCATTCCTCTCTGTTAAGTGAGTATCTGTAGTTGTGTCATCTATGTGTAACAGATAGGAATCACAAGCTCATAAGGCAAGTTCTGGGCCCTTTGGAGCTGCGAGATTACTTGGAAAGCAGAGTCCAGATTTAGCTCGACATGCTCTGAAATCCAGCCATTTCAGTTTGTAGCTCATGAGTTATGGCAGCATGTTCCCCAGCCAATACAATTAAGCAAACCATGGTTTAGCACAATGTGTGAATCAAGTCCTTGTGTGTGTCCAGCTGTACATGTATGGGTGCTCCTGTGGGTTTAACTACAGGGAATATGTTGAGCACTGGGTAGGATGTAGGAAAAAGGAGTTTGCTTGCTCATTCATTCATTCATTCATTCATTCATTCATTCATTCATTCATTCATGTATGTTCTTCAGAAAATTTTCCTGCCCGCTGCCTCTGAGGAAGAGATTTTCCAGCATTTAGGATTGGAGTACATACTGCCTGAAGAGAGAAATGCTTGAGCCCTTGTTGCACGAAGCACTTTTTTCATCCTACGGAATTCACAACGGGCTCAAATGAATGAGAACACCCAGGTTACATTTCATATAACCTTCATTCATGTGGGTGTGTGCCTGTGTATGATATAATATATAATTTGCTTCTGAACTATGTGAATGGAACGTTAGGAAATACATCACTTTTTTCATACTCTGTTGGTTTCTGTTTCGATTTTTCCCTTAACATGGTGTAGACATTGACTATCACATGCTTTTTGAAAAATGGCTATTTTCCTGACATTTTATTTAGTTTATATCATTTATATAGCTACCCATCTCACACAAGTGACTCTAGACAGTTTACAAGATTAAAAACAAACAAACCTCCCCAAACAAACCCCCCCATGCCCAAAGATAAGCTGTTAACTATTAACTATCAGTAGTAGCAACATTCATATCACCCCCCGCAACCCAAATGCCTGGGGGAACAGCCAGGTCTTGCAAAAGGCTAACAGAGTTGGAGCTCACACACATGCACGCAATAAAAATATATTGTCACCTATCCTGTAGAATTACCAAAATCTGAGACTCGACTCACAGGTTAATGAACCTGCAAGATCTTTGACATTCTTCACTTAAAATATTATAATTCTGAGGTGCATAATGCCGTCTAAGGCGGTCACAGATGTCCTGTTGCCTAACGCTGCTGTATTGCTCGCCCCTTCTTTAATAGCTACGCGATAGGCACATATTTCGTAGGTATAGCTTCTCATGATACGGAAGAGAAGTCTTAGCCAAGGCAAGACATCTGCAAAAACACCTGGTTTCTGCAGAGAGATTGGCCTGCTAATGCCCGACCGAGCATCATTCAAGCATTGTTCAGAGATCCTTATGGGCAGGACTCTATCATTCTTCCGGTAGAGTGTTAGACCTGTTTATTAGTCTTGAAAGAGCAGTTAACCTGTATTTAAGAAAGAAAGACTCTTCTTTTTATAGAATGGTGAAAGGGAGATGGATTCTGCCAGCTGTGCATTGCTGGTTTGTCCCAAGTGTTGTTCCTGTTGTTTCTACTAACGGGGGTAGGGGTAGAATGTATTTTCTATTGTTTTTATTTCTCGGGTGGTTTTGGAGAGCTGTGCTTTTATCGTTTGTATTTGTTAGAGATGGGGTGCAATCTTGCCTGCTCCAATGTCATTTTGCATATTCCATGGAATGCTTTTGGGCCCTGCCACAAACAGCCTCTTGGTTGTTGGTACCAGTTTTCTTGCAGCGCTTAACCACTGGAAATCTTTAGGAGCTGGGGAGAAATTAACAAGAGTTCTGCCCATTTCCCCTCCACAGGCACAGCCAAAAGGTGTAGGGCAGTGTTTCTCGACTGTGGCAACTTTGAGATGTGTGGACTTCAACTCCCAGAATTCCCCAGCCAGCTTGCTGGCTGGAGAATTCTGGGAGTTGA